GAGTAACTTTAATTACCCTCTCTTGTTCTTGCTTACAACAGGGATGTCATAGCACAGAAAAAAACCAAGCATTCCTATGCTGAGAAGTGCAGGTATTTTGAAGGCTGAAATTTCTTCCTTTTTTAAAAAGCACAGTCTCGAATTTCTGCTTCATTAAAGTGCTAAGAAATTAATCCACTTAGGACACTGGTTGTTCTTCGTTCTCTCTGAATTTTGTGAAGAAGAATCTCACAAAGATGATAAAAAGATCTCTTTTTAATCATTGCTTTTTCCTATGATGTGAATTAAATAATTATATCAGCTTCTGGCCCATATAATAATGTCACCTGCTATATTTATTCTCTGTGGCTGTAATGAGTTTGGAGAACACCTGAAATGTGCACAGCAGTTGGAGAACCTCTGTATCTAAGTTACATCTGTACATTTACACTTGCTGCTGTTCTACATAAAATTCTTCAAGTGGTAGCACAGACAAAAGAAAAGTGTTTTCAGAAAGATTCACTTAGTGTAAAGCAGACTTGATGGGAGGAAGTCTTCCCAAATACCTTTAGCTATCAACTCTATCACATAATCCACTTTTAGAACTAATGAGAAACTAACCTTAGAAAGATAAAGAACATTTTTCGTCTGACTGCACCATAGTCTGCAGTTGAGGGATTGTGCAGTGGTGGCTATCAAGAATGGCACTGCCAGCAATGGGTGAAAGAATCTCAAGTCAGTCAAAATACTTGTAACGTGTAAAAAGGTAGCATTAATATGTTCTTTTGAGGAGTCAGACGTTTCCTAGGCTTCAGAAGAGCACTTGCACACGCGTGCACGCGCGCACGCAAAAATCCTTTTAAACTACCAAGTCTGCTCATTTGAGTAATCGCTCAAAGGTGAGTAAAGGATCATGTCATTGCCCTTTGGGACAAGCTTTCATGAAAAACCTACTGAGTATTTCAATAACATTAACATGTACGGTGTATAAAAAGCCTTCAATATGAGCTTACTTCAATTGCCTGGAAGTTTTTATACTTGCACATGCTGCATAGCTAGACATTTCCCTCTCCTTCTTGCTTCTTCTTATCTTCTACTCCTTTTTCCTGCCATATGCCACTAATGTAACCAGAGGCCATTAGGGCAACTCACTCCCAGGCTCAGATATTGGAAAGTACAGTAAATGATCAAAGCTCAGGGTCAGTGTGAGCACCTGGTTGCCTTTGATCACCATCATTAGTTATGACAAGCAGGAATCCCTCTTGTCCTCTCAGAAAAGTGTTCACGCTGGTGGTGTATTTATTTTGATCTCATACTGAGAATAAAAGTAGCCTTGTGATTAAAACCTGCAGCATTCTGCTGGAAAGCAAAGTTACCTCAAAGTGATGGGGATGGATTGCATGTACCTTAAAAATGAAAAATATAGTATGATGCTTTTAGTCCACAATGTCCTTGTCAAAAAACCTGTTCAGAACAAATATGTCTAGCTGTCTGCAAGGAGGATAAAATGCAAGAGCTTTAAAAAGAAAGAAAATAGACAGCTCAGTCTCTTTTTCAATCCTGTTGTCCTGTTAGCTCATAGTTCTTTTTGTGGTTAGAAACATCTTCTCGTGTTCCTCTAAATTTATTTTTCATAAATGTAAAATAAAATTATACTCCATTACAGACTGATTTTAAATTGGTAATTTCTCCTGAGTTTCATCTGTGATACATTGGCTCATTCCCTGCAGAGTGAGTATGTAATTTTCTTCAAAATGCATTTTGAAAGTCTGGTTATCCTGTGTTTATTCCATGTGAGTGTCTTCATTAGTTTAGATTGCAATCTTTTTGTTTGAATGTAGTCTTGTATCAATTATTTTCATAGGTTAATTGTTACGACAGGAGGAAAGTGGAAATCACTGAGCAACTTTATTTCTGGCTTTTAATTTTAATTTACTCTTTCTTGTTCTGTCTAAAAGGATGGGAAAAAAGTACCTTGTAGTTTTTGACATCCACTTGCTCATTTGAATTTTCTTTCTTTGATCGTAATTTATTTTCCTCTCTCTAATGCTTTATGTTCCAAATTCAATTGTATGCAATTGCATGAAAATAACAAACAGTATGAAAATAGGGAATAGTAGATAATAAGAGGAAAACTCACAACAAGCCTAGGTGGTAAATTAGCCATGAACAATAAAAAAAATTGACTGTTCTGGTCTAGTGATTTTCTATCAGTTGTCTGATATTCTGTGGAATACTTACATGATTTTAGGAACCCACTAAATAGGTGTTCTGAATTAGCTTTTACAATAATCTTCTCTATTCCTCTCTCTCTCTCCTCCCTTCTCTCTCTGCATTTTGGACACACACATGCACATAAACACACATACACATATATGTATATGTCATTGCAGGAAAAAACTAGTCTCCAGACTTAATAATTTCCAAAGAAGCTACCCTTGGTAGACAGGCATATTGTCTTTGCATTCCAGTATCTAATTTTTAATATTTCAGGTGGAGGGTGTTCACCAACATGTTAGTTTCATGAAGAGTTTATCACACCTATGAACAATGTTTCACTGCACTTCCCACTGATAACAAATACCTGTACAACTCTTGACCAGCTCTGAAGGTCAGTTTGAAATTTAGACTCCTAAGCATTCTCTGGTCACCTCCACATTATATTACACAAAATCATCTTTGTGTGAATTAGCAATGGCAGGCCAGTCCAAAAAGTCTGCTCAACCTGCTTTCACATAGACCATTTGTACTTTGGCATTCAGTTCTGCTAAAATTGTGTTGAAAACTGATGTTTACTCTTCATACCCTATTTCTGTACAGTACTTGAAAAGAAATTGTTTGAGTTTCTTCCAATGATAATCAGGTATTCTTTTCTCTTTGTTCTTCCCATGGTATGTGTGGGAAGATGTCAGGGGGTAAAAATTAGAGGAAACTGAAAAGTTATATTCACATCCTAACGGAAGTTATAACAGTACAGACATTATAGGTGATGGCAGTCATTGGCAGTGGATAACATACTTGAATAAAGTGGGAAGACCCATTGAGGGGTCTCCCTTACACTGTTGGCTTAGCAGGACTGTTCAGTGAAAGGTCCCCATAATGAGATGCTGACAGATTGGTTGGGCACAAGAGTCTCAGCTGTCCTGGGGCACTGACAGACAAATCAAACACTAAGGGTCAACAAAATCTCCCCTTTCCATGTGACAGTAAGTTACTATCTACTCTCTTCTTCCTAGCTTATAGCCCCTTTTCTTTTCTACATGGGAATTCCTTATATATAAACTTCATGAAGTAACACGTATTTTCTCAAAGTGAATAGTATTGTTATAAATACATCAAATTTTTATATGTTTTGGATTTGTAAAAGGTAATTTGAATGAAGTTATCTATTTCTGATTTAGCTATTCCTCTATATTGCAGTATGAATCATGACGGAAAGTACCAGGAAGTAAATAGATTTGAATTTAGGAACATTTATAATAACTTAGAGAGATTAGTGGCCTTTATAGATTATCTTAAGCAGTAAGAGGGCTAGAAATACTTACTTCATAATAAATATCACTTTAATCTAGAATATACAACACATTTTACTTCCTCAGAAATTCACTTTCCTCTCATGTTTCTTGGATGTTCTTTGATAGTTCTTACTTGTATTGCAGTGCCACCAAAGGCAGCATAGGTACTGCACAAACACATGTTCATCCTAGGTGAACAAAGACTAAATGGGAAAGATGTATTAAATACCAATATTGAAACAAACATGATTTGGTTACAGCTGCCCCACAACGTGGAGGCAGAGTTGAAACCAGAATCCATCTCAACAGCCCACTACATCACTGCATTTAGCGCTAAATCCCATCATTTACCTAAGTGAGCTGCATTCCCAGTATTGCCAAAGTTGGTCATGTATTTCGGAACACTGTAGGTGGTCTGAATTTGTTAAAAGAATTTTCCCAATGCTTGTCTATATTTTTAATAGGTATGCAGAGCATAAACTAGCGCTCTTTGTTCTTGTAAATGACTGTGCATTTCCTAAACTGCTCTGAAAAAGAACTTGAGAAAAAATGTCTTTTTTTCACAAACTGATCTGCTGCCACTTTAAGCTACACTGCTTTTTTTTTTCATTCTGTGTTGTTTGAGATCTCATTTAGTTGCAAAAACATGAGCCTAATGCCGCAGACATATGGATGTTTAGGGCAGCATGTTATTGACAAATTCTTTAGACTGATGATTTATTTTGTACATCAATGGACAACACTTGTTCTGTCTATGAAGCCTGTTTTCTCAACTCTGCTCATCTGGGAGAGACATGCTGTGCACAAATGGATACATAGTTTGTTTTATCCTATTGAGCCTTCTATGGAGCCATGTATTTCATTCTGATTTATGTCTGGTTTAACTCCTTCAGTCTGTTCTTTGACCTGCAGGTATGCCATTCCAAACTAAATTGCACTTCAATACATAAGTGGTGCTCAAGGAGAAGGGGAATGCTAGGGAGAAGAACTATTCCTTAAACAGTATGCTTGCTGCGAGATTTGAAACATCACTTGAAAACGATGCATTGAGCCCTGTCAATAGCATTTTTAATGCAGATGAACACTAGTGACTTCAAAAGGGCTCAAAATGAAAATGTGCATCAAGTGCCTCTCCTGAATTTGCCCTGCTGATGCCACTAAAGTCAGATCGACTGAATTCAGTAGGATCAAACCACGTACTCTCAGAAAAGTAAAGGTTTACAAAGTTTGCAAAAGCTGTATACTGCTGGCATGCTGAATAGTGTTTTCCATAATCACTGGTATTTATAATCACCTCAAACATTTCGGGTTCAACAGAGGGTGTTTGTCTTGAATTCCAGGAAAACAAAACACAGTCATTTTCTGGAAAGAATCAGCTAATATCATGATAGTGTCTGAAGCAGACGTACTGTATAGTTGCTCTAGCTAAAAGTTAAATGCTACATTCACTTTTTATAATGTATTTAATTTTGGAACTAGGAAAATTTTCTTTTATTTCTTCCGTAGCTATTGGAAGTAGTGAAAAAGAGTAAGGTTCTTGAGTGACATGAGGTCAGATGTGGAAAGTCCTCAGGGATACTTCTTGGGAAGTCTGAAATCATATGATGGCACAAGAGATATCTCACTGCATGGGATGAAGTGAAGTTACCCTTACTGCAAGCATAATTTGACATATTGAATGTGCTATCTTGACAGCTGCCACTATCAATAATTAAATAATATGATTACCAACTTCTCAAGTTACATTGCACAACACTGCTTACTCTACAACCTTTTAGGTAAGTACATGACATAATCCTAGATGGATTTCTTATAAATGGTCTTGCACAATCTGACCTCCTCATGATTCTTCATGTGTGAAGCAGTGTTTTGACTTTGTGCACATTTGTAGGTCTGAAGATAAAAGCTTTGGCTTCAGCTAGAACCCACTTACCTTGGAACTGGGACTTGAGATAAATTCGCTAGCGCATTGCAAAACTTCAGGATTCCTCCTGGGATACATCCTGGGACGACTCCTGCAACCAACACAGTGAAAAGAAGAGAATGTTGATGAAAAAGTAAAGTAAATTAAAGTCGTTCCAGAAATATTTGTGTAAGTACAGGAAATAGTGAGATCACAGCATACCTTATTGATGCAAATCAGAAGCATGATTTATTCTGATTACAATCTTGGTAATTCCAAGAACAGGGGATTATTTTTAAAAGTAATTTTTACAAGTGTCTTTAAATGCAAAGTGTTACTTTCAGATTTTTGTGGATTTTTTTATTGTTAATGTGTTTTCTGCTCTATGATATTATTAATTTATGAAATGAAAACAAGTGACTCATCAAAATACAAAAGTGTTTTAGCTCCAAAAATTTCCATATTTTAAAACCTTTCAGCTATTTCTGTTCTTGTTTCTGTAGTAGTGGATCTTGTGAAAAATATCATTTTTACTGCTGATTCAAAGATCTCACCTTGCAACTGAAATTGTTGTCTAGCCGGTTGAACAAAAAAGACTTAATTTAGTTAAAAATTCAATCATAAATGTGAAATCTGTGATTTACCTCAGGCACTCTTTTATGGTGGGATTTATGGTACATAATTCTGGAAAGTAGGATATCCACAGCTCTCATCAGTTCTACATATCTAAACTAGCCTTTACAGTGGGACTGTAAATTCACTGTCTTCTAAAACGGGCAAAATCCATTAAACTTTAGTGGATTCTTTCCCCCTACGTTGACAGTATGCAGAACCTGTAGCTTGGTGCAGTTGATTGACTTTTAGATTGTTCAAAATAAATGAAAAGTTCCCAGCACCAAAAAGGCATCTCTGAGACTTTGCAAGGGAATAGGATAAAGATCTGATTACAGGACCAAGACCTAGAGATTATCATGACAATATCTTTCTGCTATTTTTGTGACAACTATTGTACAAAATTATGAAGTGACAGAAACAGAGGTCATTCTGTCAGAATCTTAAAATGTGCAAGCTGAAGGCCCTATTTGTTGTTCTTTTCAGCTGTCCTTTTAGGACCAGCTCACTTTACAGTGCATTTCTCTTTTTATGAGAAGGTGTCAGCTGCGAAAGGTGGTCTTAGATAGATACCAGTGCTTGTACTTCAGAGAACATTGGAGACATGCATACATGAACACATGTCTATAGTTATATATGTGTGTTTATATACAAAATCAATATACAGATGGAAGATATGAGATGAAAAATAGTATAAAAAATTAAGTTTTCACCGATATTTCTACAAATAATTTTTTATAGTAAGTTTATAAAATTCTGATGCATTCAGTGATTTGAATGAAGACCTTGATTTCCACAGAGGCAGAGGGCAAGAAACACATCATGACTGAATAGTGAATAAGTTATGATTATTGTACCCCCACAATTAAATTTATGGTGAATATCTTGCTCAACTCTATTATGTTTTCCACATGTAAAAATTATGAAATATTTTACAAAAAATCATTTTCCTATTTTTAAATTGGTTATATCTGCACAACTCCAAGATAAAGAAGGTTTTATCATATATTAGAAAGCCGAATTCAAACCAAAATACACTTTTAAAACTATAATGATAAAAACTATAATTTTTGTCTTTTTCTTTTAATAATTGACTTACTGATTTTCACTGATTTTCACAAAATTTCACAATAAATTAATTTAATCCTAGTAAATTCAAATACTTTCAAGCAGTTTTATAAAAAAATTAAATCATGTTTTCCTTTGGTTTAACATTCTGGCTATATTTGATATTTCATCCTTCTAGATTTCACCTGAAAATTTGGAATGACTGAAAAATTGACCCTGTGAAAGCTGATCAGTGCTTTCTGGTTGATTCTTATTAATAAGATGTTCTGCTTCCTAAGAAAATATTTATAAAGACACAGTGATTTGCATGCATTGATATACCATATTTTTTTAAGAGGCATGGTTAATGTGTATAATTTTTGTATTTAAAGGCATAACATTTTGAAAAGGACTAATTATATCCTGCATTTTCACTTGATGACAGAGTATCAACAATTTTAAGTGACAAGCAGTTTGTAGAAGAAGCTTTGCCACTTTTAAATGTCAGTTAAAAATAAAATCAATCTCTTTCAGACTGTGGATTTCAGGAAGCCATGAAGGATTGGTGCTAAAAACCACTGAAAGAATAACTATTCATTTGAAGCTATGCAAAAAAAGAATTTGAAAATGTTCAGGTACAGTGAGTTATACTAAAACCTCAGTAAATGTTGCTTCAAAATGTCACTGCAGCATGTCGCTTTTGAGGCAGTGGACAGTAGCAGATCCTGACGACCCATGGAGTATTAGATATTGAATTTTTAATGATGCTCAGTGTATTATTCTGTTCTTATTATTCACTCAGCATCTATAATATCAGTACAGACCTTGATATATCAGTACATTCTTGTTTTTCTACTCAACACTTCCTACCTTAGAAATTTTCTGTCACAGAGTAATTTACCTAACATTACATGAACTATTTTTACTTAGGCAAACCCATTCAACAAGAAATACATGTTTTGTAAATCTTAATGTTGGTCTATTTATCTCAGACTGAATATTACTTTGGAAATAGTGTGGCTTTATTCATAATAAAAACATAAGAACCCCATGCTTGTGCTTTGGCTTTATGACTTGGATATCTTGCAGCAGATGGCTGCAGATGCTAGTATTTGGACAGCTGAATTATGAAGTGATGATATTTTTTTGCCACTTAATCTGTCTCTCTGTCACCCTCTTTCTCTCCCTCTTTCTCTCTTTTCCTATTTCTACCTCTCTACACCTCACATTTACTGTTAAATAAAAATTCATACTATTGACTTAGCCGTGTGGTCTCATTTGCACCTTAATTTGGGCAGAGGCATCTCTCTAATAATTTTAAAGAACCTGATCATAACATGTCCCTATTCCACAATCATTATATTTTCTTCTAAGAAGTTTTCAGGAGTTCTGACAACATTTTTGATGCAGCCCAGGATACTGTTGGCTTTCTGACCTGTAAGTGCACATTGTCGGCTCATGTCCAGCCTCACAAGTGGAAAATATGAGGAAATATGCACCCTCATAGCAAAGAAGGACAAAAACATTCTGGATTACATTAGGAAAACCATTGCTAGCAGGTCAACAAGGTGATCTTTCCCTGCTACTTATCTCTTGTGAGACGCATCTGAAGTGCAGGGTCCCATTCTGAGCTCCCCAGTACAAGACAGATAGGAATGTAGTGGAAAGAATCCAGCAAAGGGCCACAAAGGTGATAAAGGGATTAGAGCATCTTTTGTGGAGATAAGGCAGTGAGAGTGGGGATGATTCAGTATGGAAGAAAACTCAGGAGGATCAATAAGTATAAAGTTGTGATAGGAGCAAATTGTTGTGCCCGGTGGCAGGACAAGTGGTGATGCATACAAGTTAAAAAACAGGGAATTCCATCTGAATATAAGAAAAAACTTTTTTGATATGAATTTAATCAAACACTGGAAAAAGTCTCCCAGACAGACTTTGGAGGCAACAAATGTAGATGACCCTGCTTGAATAGGAGGTTTAATCTAGATGATCTCAAACTGTCCCTTTCCACCTTAACTATTCTGAGAAATGGGGCTTTATAGCTTTCTGAGAAAAAATCTGCTATGCCACAAACCTGCCATTAGCCAGGACTGTTTTATAATCTGAAAGTCATGGATAGCCACGTTTGGATCTTTAAAAATGTATTTTGGCCATTCCAGTTAAATTAATGTCAAATATTATGCTCTGCCAGGGGAAGTTTAGGTTGGATATTAGGAAGAAATTTTTTACAGAGAGAGTAATCAGACATTGGAATGGGCTGCCCAGGGAGGTGGTGGATTCTCCATCCCTGGAGGTTTTTAAGATGAGACTAGATGTGGCACTTAGTGCCATGGTTTGGTAACCACAGCGGTGTTGGATCAAAGGTTAAACTTGATGATCTTTTCCAACCCAGTTGATTCTATGATTCTATGATTTCTAAATATGATTTCCAAATATGATTTCTAAACCTGAATTTTAAAAGAGATTCATAACAAATGATAAAATTAAAAACAAATTCAAAAGTTATTTAAAAGACCAAGTACAAAGATAATTCTTAATATTGAAACAAGAACAAACTGTATATAGCAAAGCCCTACTATGAAAAAATCTCCAAACCTATTTTTGACACTCTCAAGGCCAAAATTCAATTTTGTTTCCAGTAGGCAGTCTTCTAAAATGGACTTTCCTGATATATCTTCCTGTCTTTGATATAAAATATGGAATTATTTTCTGGGGAGTGTAGTGAAAGACAGAAAAGTAAGGAGTATATTAAAAGTTTGTTTCATGGTGCATTAATTTTCCAGAACTGGAAAGACTGAAAGGTTTGTAGAACATCCAAGTTGTATAGTTGTGGAATTTAATTTTGTTAATAAGATTTGTAGCATTCAGCCTTTTTCTATGATGTTCAAAGTATTCCTCCTCATTTTTCTATCTTAGAAAAAAAGGTCCCTAGAAATAGAAAACAAAATCCTGGTTCTTTTGAGATGAGAGACAAAGCACCCGAAGGGGGTAGGATTTCACCTAGAAGTTACTACATTCAATTTGATTATCTCTTCAGCTAGTACATGAATTGTGCTTAGAAGTGGAAAGCTTTCAGTCCACTTTCACTCTGGGCATAGATCCACTGAAACTCAGGAAGTTACATGAGGAATATGCTTAGTATTTTCTTTGAGAAGGGAGGAAGAATATTACTATAGAGATTTTAGCAGGCCTATATATGTATATAATTTCTGTAATGTTTTAAAATAAAGAAAAATTTCTATAAGGTTAGTAGGAGATTAGATCACCTGAACTGGAAGTATATGCTGGCAAGAAAGTTTTGCTTGCCAGCCTTGAGAATGTACTGCACTGAAACTGCACTAAAGATATGCAATTGGTAGCGGTGATAGTGGGGTGTTAGCTGATTTTATTTTCCTTATGGATGAAGCTTTTTGTCTTTTAAAAAACCCCGCAAACTTACATAAAAATATTTTTATCATAATACATTAGGTTTAAAATGTAACATCTGCATGAACATATAAGTGTACACACCTGGTTATTTGGCTCTCATTTAGTATATGCAGAATTCAAACTGAAATTTAATTCTGTATATTAATCTTTACTGCTCATACATGGTGCTGTGCACTTGCTCAAAAAACTCACTGAGAAAGGCTTAATCTCATAAGTTTCACACTTAACATAGAAATCCCTTCTCAAAGACCTCTGAGAAACTGTGCAGTAAGGATAGGTAGAGCACTGCTTATTACAGTCTAACTCTTTGGGACATTTGTTAAAGGCATTTTCTTATGAGCATTTTTTCTCTCTTAACTAAATAGACTAGGCATTGGTTTTCCCAGCTCTTCCTAAAGCATTTAAGTAACTTTTTGAGATATGCATTCTGAAATGAAGATATTGATTTTACCTTCATAATAATGAGATGAAAATTTTTCTGTTTCATGATGCAGTAATACAACTTACTTAAACCATTTTTAAAGGCAATGTAGGATTGTTCTTTCACAGTTTCTGATTTTTTTAAGCTGATAAATCTTAGCAACTGGGAAAATTAATATGTGATTAAAAATTATATTTTCTCATTTTAGTTATCTTTAAAGACAGTAAGGAAACAGTAGAAAGTATGATCATAGTATGATGTATAATACTGCTTGGATGCTTTTGTCTTCTATTTCTTTTTGTTGTTTCTATGTATTATTACATTTCTATACTTGATGGGTTCACAGCAAAGGTAAGGATTGTTAATAATCAGAGAAAACATCTGAGGGCATGAAACTTATTCCTATCACTGTTTGCAAAGTCAGCACTGCTCCATTACAGTTTGTTCCAACTGTAAACTGAAGGCAGTCATAAGGACCCTTAGTAACAATATAAAAACTTGAGATGATGAACAGTTTACCATGCTCTTCAGAAAACTGCTTCAAAGATTTATTACACTTATAACCTTTATTGTGAGCAGTTGTCACTTTATTTGCAGTTTAAATCTGTTTGTTTCCTCTTCCAGGATTAGGACTTATCTCTGCTTCCTACACATCTACTTTTAGGAAATGTCTTCCTGGTATTTGCTTGCTGATCTCAAGGTTACTTTTAAACCTTGCCTTTTATAAAATCACTGGCCTAAAATAAAGTGAAAATAAAAAATAATCACATTTTTAATTGCAGTAGCAGTTTCCAAAAGCTACATCCTGGCAAAATGTAATAAAATACTTAAATTAATAAAGCACTTTTAAAAAGTCCTTAATACAGAATCATTGAGTATCCATGTTTCAAAAACTTTTTTTGGCACTTTGTAGGGAAAAAGATAAATAAACCATACTTAATTTACTCTGTGCCTTTAGTTGAGAACTAGGGGAAAGTCTAGATGGTTCTTCTCTATTTTTAAAGCATAAAAAGATTTAAAGTAGAATGCCTGATTGGCTCTAAAATATGTTATATAGGGCATTCAGGAATGATAAAATTTAGAGCCTAAACTGCTGATAAAATTATGTAACTACTTTATCATTTAACAATTATTCCTGTTTATATATAAATATTCCTGTTTATATTCCTGGATGTGTGAACAGAGAGGTGAAAGCATAAATATAAAGAAGGGCTGCTATGATTCACATTTAAAAACAAGCACCTTGTAAGCTGGGAGGGGAAAAAAGTAAGCATGAGAAATCTAGTCCTAGTTTTTCTAGGATTATGCTGTAATTGGGATAGAAATGAAAACTATTTTTAATTTTGCACTGCAAATCTCGAAGTACATTCACTTGCTCCAATTTAACCCTTCTGTATTCATTCTTGCTTATTTATCTATGCAGTAGCTGCATTGAAAACATTTGCCAAGGAAAAGGACACTTTACCAGCTAAACAGATGAGTCATTTTGACGTTTAAGATATTAAAATGATAAAGAATGTTTCTATGCATTATCAAAATCTGTTGACTCTGTAAATAGCTGAACACTTTGAGAGAATGTGTTTTCTACTGTGATTTCCGCTAAATTGAATTGCACCTTGATAAATCACAGGACTCAAGATTTGAAACTTCCTATTTTAAAACTCAGAGAGTGAAAATTAGGAAGATTGACAGTTTGTCCCCTCAAATTTTTTATTACCTGCTCTGGGGTAACTGTATAGCAGAGCTCTTTTTTTTTTTACCCCCCAATGGTACTGCAAGCACTCCAACTTTCTGACAGGAAGTGCAAACTCAAGCCCAGACTACACTTTCCTTGTCATTTCTACTGCTTCTTTTATATTTCTTGCTTTCATATGTAAATAGTGATGGGTTATACTGGTGATAAACTTCTACTCTCAGTGTTGTTTAGCATTTCATTTCTTTCTGTTTCCCATTTTTAAATCCCTTTTCTCCCATTTCCTTAATTATAAGAATAGTGGAGAGTGAACTCTTCATATTAAAGTTCCTTTTTTGCCTTGGGTTCCTCCCCTCAGTCCCATTTTCTGTATTTATTGCTAAGGAAACCAGAACTTAACAAAAACCCTGTTTCAGATAATTTTCATCAGGAATAAGATATAATGAAAACCAGGTAAACAATAAAGTGATACAGACAAAAGATTCACTTCTTGTTTCCAGTAAAAGAAGTATGTTGTTTGAACTTCAGAAACTTCTACAGTTAATGAACATCACACAATTTGTCAGAAATTTATAGGAAGCAGCAATATCCTTTTCCAGTGTTATACAACTAGAATGCACCTATTCTGTTTAACTAAAAAAAATGAATAA